ATATTACCTATAATAATACTAGTTAAGGGCAGTTTAATACTTATTTCGAGTTCTTTAATCTAGAAAGCATACCTTTAGTATTCTTCTAATTATTCTCTTTTAAATTATATTATTAATTCGGATATAGCTACTTTCTATATTCTAGTCCCAAATATTATTAGTTTTAGCTTAACCTTTATATATTTACTACTATTCCTACTTATTAGCTAGAGGTTATAAGAGTAAGATATATTTATTTAAGATATATATTTACGAAATAAGACTAATAAGAAAAATGGCTCAGAATAGTAGGAACCTGTTCTATTTTACTATACTATAGTAATAGTATAATCCGGAGACTAGTAATAAGTTTTCCTATAAGCTATAGTTTCTAGTATTATTATTAGCTTTATATAATATATTAGGTCGAGATTTATCCTATATATAAACCAGGGATTAGTAAAGAAGCGGCTAGTACCTTATAGAGAGGAATATTATATACTTATTTTAACCCGGATATTATATTACTAGTATTACTTTAAGCTAAGGGCTAATTAATAGTACTTACTAGGATAAAAAATTATATTATTCGGGATTATATTCCGGCTATAATTTGATCTTAGCTATATAAGAGGATTTATTAATTATAGTACTATTTCTCGATTCTCGGTATAGCTAAAGGAAGCTAGGAAAGAGGTATTAGAAATTATAAAGAGAATATATTATATAATTTCGGATATAATATTATCTAGTTCTTTTTTGGATTCTAGGCAAATATAGCAGGAGGTATTAATATGGCTCTTATATAATATAGGAATAGATATAATACTCCGTAATTATATTTGAGTTAGTATAAGGCAAAATATTACTAAGGAATTCTTGCGAGAAAAGCGGCGAGAGAGAAATATATATAGGATAAACTAGATATGAGGTATTTTTGAGTTTGAGGTTATAAAGTATATATTAATACTCAGATTATATCTCCTGGTAAAGATAATCCTTTGAAATAGCAAGATAAGAGGGATAGCTAGGGAAGTAAAAGAAGCCTATATTATACGGCCTATTACTAAATTATATAAGTTTAGCTTTATAAAACAGGGCAGAATTTAGGGAGTAATAAAAAGAAGAAATTAATAATTAGTATTAAAAATCTTATAGTACTAATTACTACTAGATTAATAGACTTATTAGCCCTAGTAAATACATATATTCTTGGGACTTAGAAAGAATAGAGAATTAGGGATTTATATACTAGATAGTTTAGCTTAGTTCCTATTTTAGCCTATAATAATAGAGTAGTAATTATAAACGGCAAGTAGAGGAAATTCTATTATATGAGACTAGTTCTATTTCTTATAGAATTATACTTTTAGGTTATATATAAAGTTCCTTTAGTATACTATTTAGAAACTAGTATTCCCAAAGTTTATTCTCTATTATATTTGAATTCTTTTATAATAGCTACTATTAAAATAAATTCTAACTAATTAAGTATTTCCTATTATTAGAATTAATTGCTTCTAGGAACTCGCCCGGCTCTATTATATGGCAATATTAGGGCGGTTAATATAAGTAGTTCTTAGATCCGGGAACTATTATTATATAATATTAGGAATATAGCCGGTTCTTTTAATTATTTCAAATTTTTAGTTCTAGCTCCTAATAAAAAGAATTATTTAGGATTAGAAGATAATATATATAGAGCTCCAGGTATAGCTACTAATTATATAATGAAATAAATTAGTCTAATATTTAGAGAAATAATAAAGAATAACTATAGCTTTAATAAAGGTAATAAAATAGATAATAATCTACTAACTACTAAACCCCTAGATTATAGTATATATAAGGAGGCCTTAATAGGGTACCTGAGCCTATATAATTACCAGAATTCCTATAACTTTACTCTTAATATAAGTAATAGCCTTACTAGTTCTATATAATTAATATTAGGTAATAGTCTAGGTAATAAAGGCAAGTTACTAGTTATATTTTACTAGATATAAATCTAATAATATATAAATAGACCTACTATTCTTAAGAAAGATAGGCTAGATAATAGCCAGGAAAATCGTAATTTAGATAGTTATAATAGTAATTATAATAATAACCTAAAGTCTGTTTAGAATAATAAGGGCTAATATTATAGGCCCAGGAACCTAATTCTATTACTTTTAGACTTTAAAGAACGAATTTTAATAAGCTTAGAGTAAAAGTCTTCCTTTAGTAAAATACATGATTTTAATATATGAATTATAGCCTTTATATTAGTATAGGAGGCTATTAAGGAAGCAGCTTATTATAAGAACCCCGCTTATATAAAGCAAGTTTTCGGATAAACTGGATTCCTTATTATACTCGTAAAGCAAATAATTCTCGATATCTTATACGAGATAGTATATCTAATAGGCTACGAGATTAAATAATGCCTCTAAAAGCCTCCTAGGTCTCTCAAGCACAAATGGTTCTCGGGTAATACCAAGGTATTACAAGCTAGTATTATTAGGTATTATTAGTATATCTTTAATTATTACTACCTGCCCGCTAAACTATTAAAGAAACGTAATAGACCGACCTCGCTAATATAATCTCCTTCTAAGGTAAAGAAATATAGCAGGCTAGTATTTGAGATATAGCCTCCTCCTAAGAAGAAGCATAAAAGGCTACCCAAGCTTAGAGCCCTGTATAAATAATAAAATGAGATAATAATATCTTTTGTAATTAGGGATAATTACTTCTTTTCTAGTCTCAAATAAGTACTTTGATTCTTACTACTACTTATAATAGTTTGCATTTTCTTAGAATAAATAGGTTTATTCTTTACAGATTTGAATTTTTTATTTCTATAAGCTTAAGACGGTATTTGGTTCTCTATACCTGCCTAACTATTTTATTATATAAACCCGTTTGTTATTATTCTATAGTTACCTAATAGTTTAGCCTCTCATATAAATAGTACTATAGTAGAAGGCGAATTAAGTATTACTAATTTTATAGATAACTTTTTTAAGGAGGTACGGGGTAAACTCCTGTGGCTGGTATGGCTTGTATATAAAGGTACTAACCTTAAAAAAGGTAGAAATTGGCGGACCTTATATTTCTTCTTCTATCTACTTTTTCTACCCGCCAGAGTCAGTGTGTTATTCACAATTATAGTGCCGCTACTAGATAATGCATAGTATATTTTGATTAAAGCTTTACTAAAATAAGGATTTGAGAATAAGCTAATAGCCTCAAAAGTCAAGTGCTCCAAATGCACCGTCCAAAGAAAGAGACAGTAGCCCGAAATGCCCACTCCAAGAACAAAGTGCGGCCGTCGTAGCTGCATTACATCCCCTATAAAAAAAACCTTCTTTGATATACTAACTGAACAGCCCTACCTATATTAATACGAGATGGCAGACCTCTTCTATTATTAATATTATAGAAAGATTTCGGAACGTTTGATTAGTCGAATTCTATAGTCAATAGGCTAGATAAGAACTATGATCCGTCGCATCGCATAATAACGAGATACCGACCTTCGAGATTATTATCTATATAGGATATTACAGTATAAGTCTTACTAACTTGTCTTTATTAATAAATCGGGCTGCGATAGAAGGGCTAGGTATAGGCGCTGGGGATAGTCTCTAAAGGGTTCTTCCCTAGTCCAGATTACAAAGTTCAGTCGCGGAAAATGATGGTACATTCTCCCAGTATATGCGCAAGATAGTATTATACTACGGAGGGTATACCAAGAATTAATAGACAGTAATTGTTTTGAGGATTTTATTGCCTAATTACTATACTACTATAGCAGATACCCAGAGCCAAAATCTGTAATTATTATGGATAATGCTTCCTAGTACTATTTAGAAAAAATCATATAAATATACCGAGATATAGGAGTAATAGTAGAGTTCCTAAGCCCATACTCGCCTGATTTCAACCCTATTAAGGAGGAATTTGGGGTACTCAAGAAATTTATTAAGAAAAAGTGGCACGAAAACGAGGATTTTATTATAAGAAAGTTCAAAATGTTTCTAGAATAGTATAGTAATGCACATATTATAGAGAATTACTTTCGTTATACAGGAATATTTATTATACGGCCTCCTAAATAAATCTAATAGAAATAAATAAATAGAGCCTAGAAATATTCTCGTACTTTAAATCTCCTTTTCCTCTCGCAAGAATTTTTTAATATTACTCACAAATTAGAGTATAATGCCTGGCGGTACCTTAAGTTTTACTATTAGGTCGGTAATAACCTTTGGGTACTATAGAATAGTATTCAGTTCTAGGAATTAATTTATTACAACTTAATTTATAATCTATAGTACATTTCTCTATCTATTACTCTCGACTTATATTAGGCCCTAGTTATAGTACTCCTCAAGTTTGGCCTATCTATCTCTATCTACATCTCTAGAATCTTTACTAGGTAAAGTCTCTAAGACATGAACTTTATAATAATAATAGTCAGGAGAGTTATCTGCCTTCCGCTTATAGCTATTATCTAATATATTTCGGAGAATATAAGGTGGCATCTCAATATTAACCTTAATAGTCTCTTTTGTCTCTCCTTCCTTTATATTGGCTTTAATATAAAGGATAATCTCTTCTAGCTAGGCTAGTAGAATTTTATAGTGGTTTCCTTGTTTATTAGGCAAGTAGTAAGGTCCTTGCTTATAGTATTTGGATCTATAGCGGTAAAGCTCGTAGAGTCGGCTCTAGAGACTAGTATTAGCGGCTCTCTGAAGCTTTTGAGCCTCCGTAGCGCTTTTCTTCTTATTCTTACCCTTTGCTATTATAGAATTACTAGTAACTTCCTTATACACAAACTCTATATTAAATATTATCTTCCTCCTCTTACTAAACAAGTCACCAAGACCTTCTAGGTACTCGTTAACTTCCTCTCATTTAATCTCTAGCTTCTCATATGTTTTTAATAAGCCGCGCTAACGACCGCGCTCAATCAATATCTGGATAATTGTTTCTTCGCACATATAAGCATTTCCAGGAAATTTATCCTTGTCTTATAAAAGGCTTTTAAGTCGTGCCTTGAATTTAATCTTCCAAAAATCGCTCGGAGCTAGGACAAGATCGGGATCTATATTCGAATAAACATTCCTAGCTCTAATATTTTCACGCTGGGAGATCTTCCACCGGAAGTCATAGTGGATACATACAGGGTTATTCTTATCATATTGCTTGTCTGCTTCCCAACCACTTAGTCGGAGAAGTGGTAATGCATGTTCGGAACCTGTTTGGTCGACTCGTTCGCCGGCTTGGCTGGCTGGTTCGGCAACTGTGCCGGCTCTGGGGCTATCAGAAGTCAAAAAATCGAGATCTGAAGCCCAATTGCCGTTCAACCAGTTAAAGTCGGTCATTTCCATATTGGCATGTCTTCCAAGTCGACAATCGTGGAGGCAAAGGGGAAAGATCATTGCCACTATTCATGCGAAAAGGACAAGTGGCCACTTCCTCAAATTTTCTAAGGGCTTCTATGGGCTTCCATGAGAGGCCCCTCTATTTGCTAACCATGTGACATGACCAAAACTACTATACAAAAATTATCTCCAAACATTTTTCTTAATCGGAATGCACTGCGCAATAGATATGCCATTCATCAAAAATGGGGGTGACCAGTTACTGGCTTCACCAGCGCAACGCCATTCGTCGCTACCATATGCGCCGGCGATCATCTCTAAGCTCTCAGCTAGAGCCTCAGCCTCAAACCTTTTATCAACCTCTTCATTTCAGACCCATTTCCACTATCTTAGTCTTCGTGGCTAGATTATGTGGATCGCAACCTAAGTACTTCCGCCTATAACCCTTGCTATATCGAATAGCAGACGTGCAGACCGTTCAATGCTCCAGCTCCAAAATGCGTCTTCTAAAGCTAGAAGCAAATGGCGAATTTAGCCTCACGAACGACATCACCTATCCCACAACGCCTTATGCGATACTTTCACACACCTGGGGAGAAGACGACGAAGAGGTCACCTTCGATAACCTAAAGGATGGCTCTGGGAAGACGAAAAACGGATACAAAAAGCTTCGGTTCTGTGGACAGCAGGCCGCTCGTAATGGCCTACAATACTTCTGGGTAGACACTTGTTGCATCAACAAATCGAATAGTACTGAGCTTTCGGAAGCTATTAACTCCATGTTTCGCTAGTATCGCAAAGCGGCCATATGCTATGTGTACCTGGCAGATGTTTGGACAAAAGATCAAATAGACCCGTCTTTAAAGCTATGGGAAGCAGCTTTTGGGAATAGTCGATGGTTTACCCGTGGTTGGACACTTCAGGAGCTTATCGCACCGCTGTTAGTGGAGTTCTTCTCCTCGAATGGCGACCGACTCGGTAATAAGAAATCATTAGAGGTACAGCTTCACAGGATAACGGGGATTCCTATTCTCGCTCTTCAGGGCAGCCCTCTTTCTGATTTCAGCTTCGACGAGCGAGTATTATGGGCACGAAATCGAGATACTAAGCGTGAAGAAGACCTTACTTATTCCCTGCTAGGCATCTTTGATATCTCAATACCAATTATCTATGGTGAGGGGAAGGAGAACGCATTCCGCAGGCTGAACCGCGAATGGAAATACCGACTCGACGAACTTTCACGGGCTACCTCGAATTATGCCGAGCGGTTAGGCATGCTACAACAGACGCTCAAAGGGCACAGCAGCTGGGTCTGCTCAGTAGCCTTCTCGCCTGACTCGAGGCTGCTAGCATCGGGATCGTACGACGAGACGGTGCGGCTCTGGGATGCAGCTACTGGCGCGCTGCAACAGACACTTAATGGGCACAGTAGCTTGGTCTTCTCAGTGGCATTCTCGCTCGACTCGAGGCTGCTAGCGTCGGCAGCGTATGACACAACAGTGCGGCTCTGGGACGCAGCTACTGGCGCGCTTCAGCAGACACTCAAGGGGCACAGCGGCTCGGTCAACTCAGTTGCCTTCTTGCCCAACTCAAGGCTACTAGCATCGGGATCATACGACGAGACGGTGCAGCTCTGGGATGCAGCTACTGGCGCGCTGCAACAGACACTTAAGGGACACAGTGGCTTGGTCTGCTCAGTGGCATTCTCGCCCAACTCAAGGCTGCTAGCATCGGGATCGTACGACGAGACGGTGCGGCTCTGGGATACAGCTACTGGTGCGCTGCAACAGACACTTAATGGGCACAGTGGCTTGGTCTTCTCAGTGGCATTCTCGCCCGACTCGAGGCTATTAGCATCGGCATCGTCGGACAAAACAGTGCGGCTCTGGGGCGTTGCCACTGACACACTATAGTAGAACATCGCAATTGATTGTTATGTCTCGATTTTATTATTAGGTGTTAGAAGCTTGATCTTGATTATAAACGTCAGTATTTTACGGGTTTAAACCTCACTATCGAATATCAATCTGGGAATGCTTTTTGTTATCTGAATTTTATTGAACATTCGATGTAGCTGGTCTTAATGCAACCAATGTACTTTTAGAAATAGCTTCTGTATAAATCAATTTATCTTCTCGTTCATATATATTTTATTAACTGAGTCAGAAAAGAGGCGAGAGGAACGCTATAGTTATATACTATCGTAGTTTATACTCAATTATTCTATTCCTTTCCAGAATTGGCTCCGCTCCACGATAATACTGGTACCTTGGAGTATAACGGGGCAAGGGGGCACAGCCACAAGTGTCAGGAAGTGGAGCCCGCTTAAAAAAGTTATCTATAAAATTAGCGACACCCAATTCGCCTTCTACTGTATTAGCTAAGGTTTTGGAGATTAGGGATTACGATTTTAAGCCGTTATTAGGGGATAAAAGAATATTATTCCTAAAACATAACACTTTTACTAATTGCCACAGGCCTCCCTATAACATTATTTAAAGGAGTATAATTCAATAGCCATTTCTGACCCCTTTGGCCATTTCAGCTTTTACTGCCAGTTTTGGCTGTATCATTACGTGACCGTACTTACTTCCCCCCCCGGGCAATGTTTTAAGTCTCTGTCTCAACTTTGCATAGCAAAATTTGATCTACTTCAACCTTCCTCCCAGTTCTATGTCTAATGCAAGAATTTACTATCTCTAGTCCGCCCTTTAGCTCAAATTCCAAGTTCTTAACTCCAGACTTCTAATAGCTCCCATACTCAAAACCTACCATAATTTATACTAATTACTATACCTTAATACTGGTTATACCCGAACCTAGTTTAATATTCAAATACTCAAATAATATTCAAATACTCAAATAATATTCAAATACTCAAATAATATTCAAATACTCAAATAATATTCAAATACTCAAATAATATTCAAATACTCAAATAATATTATATCCTAATACTACTAATGGTTTAGCTTTATTACTCTATTACAAGTCAAACTAATTCGGGCTTATAAGTAGTATAGCTAGACAAACTAGGTAAGTACCTGAATTTCCCTATCTAAGATTTATTCGCTTTATATATAAAAACTAATAGTACTTTAGTAACCCGAATTTGAAGTTCTAATAATATAGAGTTCTATTTCCAAGCTCTAACTCGAGGTTTATCTAGTTTTTCTAAAGTAATACCGGAAGTTATAAAAGATAATTTATATAATATAATTTTATAACCCGAAACCAGACTTATATTACTAGAGCTATTAGCTACTAAAGTAAGAGGCATTTATACTAGACTTATAATAGTTGAGGCCAAGTATATTAAAGTGAATTAGAGGCTACTAGCCTTACTTACTTAAGTAAAGCTTAATAGTTAGTAATAGTAAGCTTTAATTATTTTTTACTATATTCTTTTATATGAGTATTACGATTTCCTATTTATATTATAATATTTGTCTATAGATCTAGCTTTATAATAGCTTATATTAGAGTATAATATACTAACTAGAATATGGCTTTATAGTATTTATACTTTCCTCGAAGTCTTATAGTATTATCTACTTACTTCTTTAGATTTTATACTAGACTTTCTTTATCTATTATATTTAATAATAGTATTACTTTATGAGATAATACTAATATTTATAGATATTTAGATTAAATATCTAGGAGAAATAAGTTAGTATAGAATAGCTTTTAAAAATAAAGATATTTGAGACTAAGAGATCTGGATATCTAATATTTATAACTAGTATTCTAAGGTATCTAATAAAGCTCTAATTATTAGTAAACTTTACTACTATTATATAATTCTTATAACTAATATCTTTTAAGAATTATTCTTATATAATAAGTTTCTTTATATTATAAATTCTTTTAATTTAGCTCGAATATTAATCTTAATATTATTTAATCTAGTCCTAATTCTTATAGGGAAGTACTAATACAAGTTACCTACTTTAGATACCTATTTTATAAGAATATATAGGCTATTATTTAAGTAGATAATAGAAAGGTTTAATAGGGAAGTAATATAATTTTTATATCTTTTAAACCTCTAGATTAGAAGAACTATTTCTAGCTTTATAAAATAAGAATATCTAATTATTATTTCTAATATCTATATAATATTTGATTTTGGATTAAAGAATAATACTTTAATTAAAGCTATTAAGGGAATACTAATAATAATTACAGATAAGAAGGCAGATATTTCATTCGAGTACTTATAGTATCTTTACTATAAGATACTAGTAATTATCCTTAAATAAGCTAGAGATTCGAAAGTTTTGCCTTTTCTTTATATTATTCTCGCTTTTATATATTATATATCTTATTCTCTATATATAATAGACTTTTAGGAAGCTCGATTGCCTTAGATTTAGTTAATAATAATATTAAATGCCTTAATTAATTATTTCTCGGAATAGGTTAAATATAATAAGTTCCTAGAGCCTGCGGAAAATAACTAGTATTTATTTCCTAAAGATTATATAATATGCGGACTTTTATAGACTAGAAACTATTTCCCCGAATACTAGTTTATAAAAGAGGTTAAAGATAATAAGAAGTTTTTTGAAAAAGTATTAATAACTTCTTAAAGAAAAAAATGAATTCTTTAGCTTATATATTATATTACTAATTATAGTAATTTACTAATTTATTAGGATAGTATTATATATATGTTTTTAGTAAAGTATACTAATAAAGTAATAATAAGGGAACTTACTAGAGAAGAGTTAGATAATAAGATAATAAAAGAAATTAGTAATAAGAACTATAAGATATATAATACTATATATAGAATAATTAATATAGGTATAGAAAAAGGCCGGAATAAAGAATTATATTCCCGGAAAAGATTATTAGTAAGTTATTTATATATTAATAAACTATAATAGTAAGAGAAGTAGCTTTATATATGAAACTATTTATATTAAGAAGAATTATAGGCTATAATAAAATAGTTTATAAAAAATAGAAGGCACTAGAAGTTTAGTATATAATTTCTGAATTATTATTAAGTTATTAAAAAATACTTCTTTAAGCTATATTATATTTACTATATTTTCTTTAATAAATTATTATTTATAAAAGCCCTTTATCTTAAGGCCCCTAGGCCCTATTTCTCGAGTTTTATTTACTAGAGTAGTAAGTAATTATTAAAATAATAATGCTTTAGTAAATCTACTTTCTTAAGATTTATTTATTTTATATTATTATATTTCTCTTTATTATAAATTAACTTTAAGCTTTCTAGAAATTGCTTCCTTTACTAGTATTAATAAGTTTATTTAAGCTTAATACTTTCGGATTTTCGAGTATAATAGTAATAGAAATAGCTAATTAATATTAGTTATAAGAGATATATCTTATAGCTCTTCTTTTACTTTATATTAATTTAATATCTACTAAACTATAAAATAAAATCCGTTATTATATTTGTAGTAATAATTAAAGGCTTAGACTATTCCTATATTAGAGATCCTAGTACTATATATTATAATCTCTTTAGAAAGTTCCAAGTTTTTTAAATTACCTTTTTCTTATTATTATTATAGAATTTAAATAATTTACCTAATAATAGAAAAGCAAGTTATCTGGCCATAACCTAATTCTTAGAGAAAAGCTCGATTTTTAGCCTCTATATTAGGAGGTACTTATACTTAATTAAATCGGGAAGAATACTTAATAAAAGTATATATAACTAATTTTTAAAGAATAAATAAGAAGCCTCTATAACTTCTAGTAATTCTTTAAATTAAAGTTTTATTAGGTTTACTAGACTAGAGCTATTTAATATTAGCTAATACTATAATTAATAGAAATGCCTATAATTATAAGAAAGTATATTATTTATTTATTATTAGTTATATTTTCGGGTAAGATAACTAGAATATCTAATCTAAATTAGCTAATTAGTATTATATATTATTTATCTAGCTATATCTAATACTTAAATATCTTTTTAGCTATTTTATAAGCCTTTCTCTAATTCTATAAAGCTCTCTGGCTAGTAGTATTTATTATCTATAGAAATAATAAATTAATAAAGTTATTAATTAGGAAACCTTAAGAAATACTAGCGGCTTATTCCTTAATTATATATATATTAAATAACTTAGCTAAATAAATTCGCTTACTAATATTATTTTCTATTAGTTTATACTTATTTAATATAACTTCCTGTATTCTTATTAGTAGGCTTAGTAAAAATACTAGTATTAATATATATTTATACTTGCCTTATAATATTTGTTCCTAAGTAGCAGAAAACCCGGTATACCGGAAATAACTAATAAGATTATAAGAATTACGGATTTTTTACTATAATATCCTCTTTAAACTAATTATAATAAAAAAAATTTAAGTTATATTTAAAGTTAATAATAGGCTTATTATATGAGTTCTATTTATATAGCGACTTATAAATATTAAAATTTGTCTAATTTTCTAATATACTAAATTATTTATTATATAAGAACGAATATTATATAATATTATATATATTTTTAGTTTTATAATAATAGATAAAAGTAATTCAAATCCAGATTACTAACTTAATTTAGAATATTCTTTTCTCTTAAGAAGAAAAAAGGTAAGTATTAGGCAGGAAATTAAATTCACTTATATAATATAGAAGAAACCTAAATAATACTCGAATTCTTAATAGGCTTAGCTATAAAAACCATAAGGAAAGACTAACCAGGCTAGCTATTAAAATTATAATTTATAAGTTAGGGCTAATACTAATATCTATTTTTAGTAAGGTAAGTATATATTAAAAACTAGAAATTAGTAATTAGAAACTAGAACTAGAATTCGAGATTAGTTCCTTATCTATACTTTTTACTATAGATATTACTAGTAATTAATAAATATAAGTAATAGTAATATATTCTCTTATAATATCTATTAA